TGTGTGCAGATGGTGGACGCGGGCGGCTGCCCGGCCGGGGAGGGCTGGAGGAGGATGGAGGCCGCGCCCGACGGTGCCGTGGACATCGTGCCCCTGGACCGCTACGACTCGGCCCGCGCCAAGATCGCCGCCAACCTGCAGTGGATCTGCGCCAAGGCATACGGCATAGGTGGGCCGGGGGGGGGGGGGCGGGGCGGGGACCGGGGGGGGGTCGGACCGCGGGGTCGGGTCGGGGTCGGGGGCCGGGGCGGGGCCGAGGGCGGGGTCGAGGGCGGGGTCGGAGCCGGGCGCCCGAGCCGCGGGGTTGGGCGCACCGGGGGCTGGGGGCAGGGGCCGCCTTTGTGCTCAGGGTCCCGGGCCGCGGCGCTGTGCCGGTCGCCTCCGGAGCGGGCTGCGGCGGCGCGCGGTGCGGGGGCGTCTGCGGGGGTCCATCGGCAGGTGCCGCGAGGAGTGGGCGCGCTCCCCTAGCTGCCCGGGGGTGGGTGCGGGGCCGGGCGCGGGGCCGGGCGTGGAGTTAGACTCCTGGTGGGGCTGGAGTGCAGGGGTAAACCCTGGACGCCCAGCCGCTCTGGATGCGCGCCGAGCATCCGACGCGGAGTTTCCTAACGAGAAATCGGTCTTTGAACGGATTGTGCTTAATGAGCATCCTTCCTTGGGTTAATTCCCGTTCTGAAGAACTAGGTAACCTTGGTACGGGATCCAGTTCGTTAGGCCCTAATATGCTTAGTGGATTAAGACTTTCCTATTTCCAGCCCTTGGAATTTTACAGACCAAGTGATTCTCGTAGTGGCTTTATTAATATCTGGTGCTTTGTTTTGGGCACAAACTTGGGGGCTGATACTGTGTAATCTTCTGCCTTTTAATTTGAAGCCTGTTCAAAGATGGCCTTTACTCTGGTGCAAACGTGCCTGTTTCCAGAGTGACCCTGATCTGGAGAGGGCCCTTTGGGGAGGAGTTTGGTGGACCCGGTGTGAACACTTGTGGAGCAGGGGTGCCCTGTGCCAGGGTCTCACCAGGTGGCGTGGCCGGGGCCGTAGGGAGGCGCCCTGCAAGTCCCAGCCATTCCATGCGTCGCCCCGTTTGAAGTTGGTTCATGGCGCGTAAGGAGAGTGCTTTCCTAGAGTTTGCGGTTGACCATTTTTGTTTATGGCTCCGTTGAAGACTGCTCGGTTTGTGTGTTGTGTGGTCCGGTCCGCTGCCACATCCGCGAATTTCGGTGCTTTGGGGGGAGGCGTGGAATTGGTACAAGTTACATAGGAAACTGTACAGTAAGAGGCTAAGAGGAACGCTGGCGTGGCCCCTTGGTGTGGGGCAGTCAGGTTAAGGACAAGCAGGTGGCGTAGTCCTTAGCGGCCTCGTGTTTCGTGTTGGCGGTTGGTTACGGTTCACCACCTCCGCCTCCGTCCCTCGGCTACGTCGTGGAGTCCTACAGGTTCTTTCACCTTCTGACACTGCCTTCTTACCTGTGACGTTCGGAGGCTCTTCCCAGCTTCGTGCAGGGTTCTTGCTTCCCCCCCTGCGTAGTATTTCACTGGAGGCCCGTTCACTGTCCACAGGCGCTGGCCGGTCCGGTCCTTTGCTCTCGGGCACACGGTGCATTCTTGGGCGCAGCTCCTGGGGCACACGTGCGAGGTGTTGCTCCTGTATGTATTTCTGAGATTTTACGAATGGTTAGGACAAGTTTCTGGTGATGAATGCTGCACGGACACGAATGCCTTTACGAAGCGCTCTCCGTTGGCTTTCCGGGTTTTTGTTGCGTTTCACTTCGGCTCTCCACGTGGGATTGGTCAGCGATCTGGCAATGAATGTGCGCCTCTCAGGGTTGGTCTAGTGTTACTTCCAGTACCAGATCTCGCCTTAATACTTGTCGACTCATCAGGTAATTAACTCAGAAACTCGTGTTAAAATGGGCCTTACAGTTTTGAAATCGTTACAGGTGGGTATTTATGGAATGTGAGTGCGTGGGGAAGGAGAGTAGGTGCTGTCTGAGCATCTAGGACTGTTGGACGTTGCCCATCGGTTACCATCCTGGGGCAGCAGTGTGCTCATCGAAGTCTGACTTTGGGAAGTCTGGTTTCCATTCAGTTTCCCTAAAGGAGAAAGTTTTTCCATTCTGTACGTCGATTCAGAAGGGGAGCAGGTGCAGTTTTTTTTCTAGTTGAGAGTCTCTTTAAATTTACAAATCTGGGAGATCCTAATTCGCGTGATCGAGAAGACTCACCTTGGCTGAGCTGAAGCGATTTCATGTATGTCATTGGTGTGGAGGTCCCAGCCTGGGTGGAAGATTTGGTGTTACCGGCACACAGTCTGGTCTTTGAGGACAGCAGAAAGGTGGAGGGGGGGATTTTGATATATGACGGTA